AAGTTTTCCGGTACATTGCTAAACGAGTCGTGTGATCTCTTAAGTATCTTTCAAATGAAGCAATTGATATATCTACGGTGATCTTTCCTTGTTAATTCACCACTTTTGCAATTCGTGGTAAAATTTATGAACTGATTTCTGGGTAGATGCAAACCGCATGATCGTGCGTCAGAAAAACTTAACCCGATCCTTCATTTAGACATCTGAAAACTAAATTCGTATAACTTAAACATAGTGCCAAAGCAGACCAACCACACGGGGTTTCTATACCTTTCGTCTGCAGCGCCATCCATTGGGTTCATTTTCTGCAAAACCATTGCTTGCCATAAAATGAATACGTGTTATGAAATTCAACCTTAACTCCAGCGGCACTAATCAGGTAAATTTTAATCAAAAGAATTTTCCATCATACAGGTACATAGCTCACACTTAAAAATGGAACGAAATCGAACGATTCTTATAAATAACTCTACTCCAGCACCACCTAGCGAGTTTTCTAGTAGCATGTAATCTATCGGAACTCTATTCAGTGTTTTTTGAGTTTATTCCGAACAACGAAAACGGCTATCATTTTATGCAAATAGGTATGTAGATAGGACAGTTTATAGCGAAACTCGTAAAAGCAAAGCTCCATTCTTTGTGAAAAATCAAAAAAAAATCTTCAAAATATTCACATAAATGTTACCTTACTGAAAATTAAAGACAAAGTTACAATAGTTCAATGGGATTTAGAAATCTAGGAGAAAATGGTTCCCAATCGAATGATACTTGCGCGTTTACATAAATGTATATCGAGCCAGCCTTTCCAATAATTACCACATTTCGCCATACGGTATTGATAACACGTGTAGCTGTGTAGAATTTCAGGACGTTAGCGTAAGCAGATCCAGAGATAAGCTATATGAGAAGTTCAGTTTGTATGGAAGGAAGGAGCCACGCCCCCTTTCCCAATGCATTTGTAATATATGCATCAGTGCTAAGTTTCAGTTCCCCAGCGTAATTGGTTTTAGAGATATATTGGTTTTTTACGTTTTAGTCTGTTTTGGAATTTAGGAATAACCCGGGCTACATACCGAGTAAATTTTTGGTCAGAATATTTATTTTCAAGGTGTTGCCAAATATGAACCAAGTTGATTCAGCCGTTTAGTAGTTTAGTGAAATACATTGTAAAGAGAACTGTATGAAATTGTAAAACGTGACGTCTCAGATTTCTTAATTTTTTGGCAGCAACAACGAAAAGTTTTATTTTTTTTAGCGAAAAACCTTCCACACAGAAATAAAAAAACATTAAGTTTGTGGTTATATCAAGGCGAAATTTTGAGAACGGTCCGTTGCTAACTCTAAATATAGACAACGACGCACTGGAAAAAGTTAATACGTTCAAATACCTTGGAATAATGATCGACGATAAACTAAAACAAAGAAAAAAATGGATTCTATATTTTCAATTAGTGCTCTAGCACTATGTACATCGGTGAAAACTGCATTTAACTCCATACATTAGCTTTTGCGTGATGCGCTGACAAACATACAGACAAATATACCAAAATTTTATATTTGGCTTCTGTTGATCTAACAAACCCCCTAATAATTTTTCTTTAACATCTGTTACACAGGTCTACAAAAAAAAATTGTTTGTTTGGTGCCGCTAATTCTATGTTATAATTTGCTTAACTAGCCCACAAAACGTCGTGCGAAGCTGTCAAAATCTTGAAGCTACGTTCAGGTTTGTATCGATCGATTATAACCTAAAAAATGTATTTTATCATATTTCATGTCATCATAATCAATTATTTCTTTTTTTGATTAATAATATCGATATGTCGTTGTCAAGAAGGTGTTGTGTAAATAATCCAAATACATTTTGTTTTATTTGTGGTGAATATGTAGTGAAAAAGTTTAGAAAACCTATAACAGATTTAGTGAAGAAGACATATGTTGATTACTTTAATATAGAGATGAAGGCTCTGAACAAACCGTGGGTTCCAAACATTGTGTGTAAGTTGTGTAGTGAACATTTAAGACAGTGGGCAAACGGTAAACGTAATCATATGAAGTATAGTGTGCCAATGATTTGGACGGAACCGAAAAATCATATTGATTACTGTTATTTTTGTGCTGTAGAATTACATGGTATAAACAAAAGAAAAATGACATATCCTGACTTACCGTCTGCTAAAAGACCTCGACTCTGTTCAGATGACGTACCATCTCCTATTAGTCAAGATCTTTCAGATCAATCAGATTTGGCAGACACAGAAATGGTGGAAGTTTTTTCTGATGAACGTGACAGTGATTTGAAAGTGTCAACAGCGCCTTCACTTTTTCTCAAGATGCTTTAAGTGATTTAATTAGAGACCTTGATCTTTCGAAAGAGCAATCTGAGCTACTAGCATCTAGACTCGAAGAAAGAAATTTGCTATCTCAAAGTACAAAAATAACATTTTATCGTGATCGCGAAAAATAATTTCTTCCGTTTTTTAGCTCAGAAAATTATATAGTTTATTGTAATAACATTGGTGGTCTTGTAATGAAACTGGGGCTTTCAAGGTACAAATCTGAAGAATGGAGATTGTTTATGGACAGCTGTAAGCGAAGTTTAAAATGTGTTTTACTAGATATTGGTAATAAACATGCAGCTGTGCCTATTGCGCATTCGTGCGTGGATCTTGTTTTAAAAAAACTTAAGTACTCGGAGCAACAATGGGTAATATGTGTCGATTTAAAAATGGTTAACTTTCTATTATGTAAACAAAGTGGGTACACTAAATTTCCATGCTTCATATGTTTATGGGACAGCAGAGCAAAAAAAGACCACTGGATCAAGAAAGATTGGCCTTTGAGAAATAACATGATGGTTGGCAAACAAAATATTATAAACCCGCCTTTAGTTTCTAGAGATAAGATTATTTCGCCTCCATTACACATCAAATTGGGACTTATGAAGCAATTTGTTGAGGCACTAGATAAAACTGGTCTATGTTTTGTATACCTATCAAGAAAGTTTCCCGGTTTAAGTAATGAAAAACTAAAAGCTGGTATTTTTGATGGTCCCCAGATAAGACTTTTAATGAAAGACAACGATTTCATACATTCAATGAATAATTTAGAAGCAGCAGCTTGGAATTCTTTTGTTGCTGTAGTAAAAAATTTCTTAGGAAATCAGAAGGCCGAAAATTACAAAGAGTTAGTCCAAAACCTCTTAATTAGCTTTAAAAATCTTGGATGTAATATGAGCATGAGTCCTCATCGATGTTGGTCTCCTTGGCGTGGGGATGAGGCTTAAGTGGTGACATTGGGGCTTTGAGGGGCTTCTATGTCAGCATGAACTAAGAGGGAGGCTCCGCATGAGAACCTGCGTAAGACACGAGCTTACACAGTTTCCTATATGGAGATTACCGTACCGACGATTACTCCTGCCCTCATCCCTCCTTATCTCTCCTATCCCAACAACCCAACTCCTCCCCCCTAACCCAGGGTGTTATGCGACACCGTGCCCATTGGATGGTTTGCAGCCAGGGGGTTTACCAGACCGGCTGTATTATAACGGCGCCTTCCTGATACCAGGCCGCCTCAGGGAGTAACGGTGGCATTGCCGCGGCATGGGGCGCTGCCGTGGTGGACCGTTAATTTCCCCTTACATTGCTTACGAACAAGATGAATACAAACCAAAATAAAACAAAAACAATAACAAAAACTAAAATTTCGAGCAGCGGAGGATCGTCGGAGCCGGCATCCAAAGCTGTCTCCACCCCGGTTGGGGATTCTGAGGAGGCGAAGGCATCTCCGGCTAAGGCCACGAGTGGGGCCTGCACGGCCAGCGGCGTTGGGAAACCGGAGCTGGCTATCGACAAAGCTTCGAGCATCGGTGGGTCGAAGTCGACACCCATAGCTGCCTCTGTCCCGGGTGGGATTTCTGGCCCTGCAGAGGCGAAATCGCCCTGCGTTAAGGGCTTAAGCAGGGCCTTCACGGCCGGTGCCCCAGGGGGGTCGAAGCCACCTCCTTCTGGTAGTAAAGGTCGCGGAATTCTGCCGGTAGTGGGTAGAGCCTGTGCGAAATCGCACGGAGCATCTGGGGGTACGGTGCGTGGCGGAATCGCCAGCACCAGCAAGGGTCTCTCGCCGCGTGTCTTTGGAGCTTCGAGCACCACGGATCGGGCACCTCAGGGAAATCCTAAACGGCGCGCCACCGCGGCGAGAAAGGATCGCTCGGACCGTCGCATGGCCGCCAAAATTTTGGAACGCTACGGCGGTCAGTGTGCTGGTCAAATGAGTGATCAGCATGCCCGAACGCTCGAGTGGGCCAAAAAGGTGGTCGGCGATGCGGAGGCTGCGACAAGGGAAGGTAGCCGATGGTGCGAATGCGCTGTCGACTATGAAGCGGCAGAGATCACGGGAGGGGGAAACCACGACCGTGAAAAGGTTTCGTACGGGGCCGGCCCCCACGTTTAGCGAAATCGCTAATCTTGCCGGCTCAGTGGAGTTAGGGGTCATGGACCGCAGCAGGGAAGACGGCGCCACCACCTAGGTGTGAGAGTGCCGGTTGGCACCATGGGCTGCATAAGCTCACGAGGTGCGCCGATGAGCGGTCGGCAGCCTTACACAAGGAGGCAGTCTCCCTGGTGGGGGAGGTTTGGAAGGGTGCCGATCTAGTGGCCGTGGACAAGGCGGAACTTCCGATGCGTCCACGGGCTCGGGTATGGCTCCCTACTGAGCTTACCTCTCCAGAGGAGATCGAAGGAATACTTCGGTACTGTAATCCTTCTCTCCCGACGCATAACTGGAGGGTTATCTGGTTGGAGAGCACCGAGGAATCTTATCGGCAAGCGCTGATACTGCTTAATGCAGAGTCCCTCGGTGCTCTCGGCGATACCAAGGGGGTCATATACTATGGCTTCGAGAAGGTCGTTCTACGGATTCTACCGACCGAAGCCAAAGCAGATGACCCTCTGCCTCCAGCTACTTCGGAGGGAGGAAGAGAGGCCATTGACTCCGCCAGCATGGAGTTGGGAGACTCGGCTCAATCGGATGCTGAGTGCATTGGGGGCGGCTCCTCTGCCGGGGCATCCGCCTTCAGTCTCGAGAGGCTGTTCGGTGGGGTCGATGTCCGCGGTGAGAGCGCGGAACTAGCGCTCATGGAGGATATTCTGGAGAATGAAGATTTTGCAGATTAATCTCCAACATTCCAAGGCGGCATCCGCCAATCTTTTGCTCCACCTTGAGCAAGGTGGGGCTGACGTGGTTCTGATACAGGAGCCATGGTTGAGCAGTAATGGTATCTCTGGAATCAGAACAAGGAACTACAAGCTGATAGCGGCGAACAACGTAGGTAGAACTAGGGCCTGTTTGCTTATCAGAGGTGAACTAAAAGCTTTTATTTTGCATAATTTCAGCAATGAGGATGTGGTTACAATTAGGCTGGAACGAGAGGCTGGAGAACTCTGGCTCATATCCGCCTACATGCCGCACGATGACGAGGTGGAGCCACCTCCAACGCTGTTGAGGAGCGCTCTAGCGGAAGCCAAGCGACGGAAAGCTGGCGTGATCTTGGGGTCTGATGCGAACTCGAGGCACTCAGTTTGGGGCAGCTCGGATACAAACTTGCGAGGTGAGTCACTTTTTGAGTTTATTCTAAGTGAAAACTTACATATCTGTAACAGGAGGAATTCCCCTACGTTTATAACTGCTGCCAGGGAGGAGGTTCTTGACCTCACACTGGCTTCATCTGAGACAGCACCTCTGATCTCGGATTGGAGGGTTCTGAGCGAACACTCTTTTTCGGATCATAGGTATATTCAATTCTCTTTGGACGAAACGCGTCCACGTAGCAAGCCCTTCAGGAACCTGAGGAGCACGAATTGGGATCTGTATAACAGGAACCTTCGCGGAGTGCTCCCTGATGCGCCAGAACCAAATTCTGTGCAGTCGGTAGACTCGCTGGAGGAGCTTGTTGAAGTTTTCAGCTCTGCGTGCAGGGAAGCTCTTGAAAGCGCATGTCCGCTGAGATTTCAGAAAGGCAGAGGGAAACCCCTTTGGTGGACTGTGGAGCTCTCTGAGTTAAGAGCGTCGAGCAGACGACTTTTCAATAGGGCCCGTAGGAGTAAGTTGTCTTCTGATTGGGAACTCTATAAGGTTGGACTAGGAATCTACAAGTCCGAAATAAGAAAGGTTAAAAAGATTTCATGAAGGTCTTTCTGCGAAAACGTTGAAGGGTGTCATGAATCTTCGAGATTTAGGCATATTCTCGCTAGGAGTCCTGCTCCGCTGGGCTACTTGAGGGATGAGGCAGGTCACTGGACTATGAGTGGCGAGGAGTCGCTTAGGCTGCTCCTGGACACTCACTTTCCTTCCGATCCCTTCCCTGAGGAGATCTCCTTAGGGGAAGTGTGCGGAGACTGTGCTGCTGTTTCTGACCTCCTGGATGAGCGCCGCCTGGCGTGGGCGATCAATTCATTCGAACCCTTTAAATCCCCAGGACCTGATGGCATCATACCTGCGCAGCTGCAAAAGGCGGCGGAGGTGTCGCGCCGTTGGTTGGCCCCAATCTAAGCGAGCTGCGTTAGATACGGGTACATTCCCAGGGGCTGGGGGGTCGTCAAGGTGGTGTTCATCCCGAAGGCCGGAAGGAGCTCTCATGTTGCCTCCAAGGACTTTAGGCCAATCAGTCTTTCATCGTTTCTGCTGAAGACGTTGGAGAGGCTGGTTGATATGCACATAAGGGGCATGATTCCTCGGGATCGCCTGTCTAGAGCTCAGCATGCTTACTGTAAAGGACGGTCGGTCGATACTGCTCTGCATACAATTGTGAGGTGTATAGAGGAAGCCTTCACTCACAAGGACTTTGCCGTAGGAGCCTTCCTCGATATCGAGGGGGCTTTCAATAATGTCCTGCCGGACCCAATAGTTAAGTCGCTAGATAAGCTTGGGGTTGAGGTCAGTCACATTAGGCTCATCGAAAGCTTGCTGCGTGACAGAACTGTCATGGCCGTCTGGGTTAGCGCCTGCTTGTCTCGCATTGTGAGCAGGGGCACCCCGCAGGGAGAGGTTCTCTCACCCCTTCTCTGGGTCGTCGTGGTGAATGAGCTACTAGTGGAGCTGGGGAGACACGGCTGTCGGGTAATTGCTTACGCAGACGATGTGGCGCTCCTGGTTAAAGGTAAATACCTGAACACTCTGTATGAACTGACCCAACGGTACATTAACATAGTTATTAACTGGGCGGCCAAAAGTGGTCTTGCCGTAAACCCCAGTAAGACAGAGCTGGTCTTATTCACAAAAAAATATAAAATCCCCGCCGCTGCTCTTCCCTCGGTTAAAGGTCTGCGCTTACAGCTGTCTGACAGGGTCAAGTACTAGGGGCTTGATCCTGGACAGGAAGTTGTCGTGGGTACCAAACATCGAGGAAAGGGCAAGAATGGCATCAGTGGCCTTATATTGCAGTAGGGGAGCTATTGGTAAGAGATGGGGCATCTCCCCTAAAGTTGTCTATTGGCTATACGAGACCGCAGTCAAGCCAATTATGTTCTATGGGGCCCTAGTCTGGTGGAGCTCACTGGAAAAGGTTACACTGGCTAGGCAGCTGGAGCGCGTACAACGGGGTGCTTTAATTGGTATTAGTGGGGCACTGCGAACCGCCCCCACATTAGCACTGAACGCAATGCTAAACGTAGCGCCTGTCGACGTTGCAGGTAGAGTTGTCGCGGCGCCAACGGCTATTCGACTCAGGGAAACCGATTGGTTGATCAACTTAGGGACTGGACACTCTGGAGTTCTAGGAGGTTTCGACTTCATCCCCGATCGTACGGATTACTGCACCACCGTTACGGCTCCTAGGAGCGTCTTCTATGTCCATTTTCCCTCAAGGGATGAGTGGGCCGGGCGGGACTTCTGGAGGAGGGGTGCGGTGAACTTCTTTACGGATGGATCGAAACTGGATGGCAGGGTTGGCGGAGGGGTCTTCTGTCGAGAGCTTTCCATCAGCACTAAGTTCAGACTCCCGGACTTATGCAGTGTATTCCAGGCGGAAGTAGCTGCTATCAAGGAGGCGGTGGATTCACTGCTAAGGAGCGTTATAACCGTCAGGGAAGTGAGCGTATATTCTGATAGCCAGACGGCTATCAGGGCTTTGAGTTCGTTAGAGGTGCGCTCTAAACTGGTTAAAGAATGTCTTCTCTCTCTCTCAGTCGCGTCGGAATACTTCCGCATTAAGCTTATTTGGGTTCCGGGACACAGCGACATTGGGGGGAACTGCGTGGCTGACGAGCTGGCGAGGGAAGGAACCCGAGAAACGTTACTACCGAATAAAAAGCGGCTGGGGTGCCATTGATTGCTTGCGGTTCGCTCTTGGATAAATGGGCCTCATGTCAGCTCAGCGAACGCTGGGCGAATACCATAACATGTGCGATCGCAAGGTACTTTTGACCGAGGGTGGACCGGCGGCGATCGAGGGCACTCCTCACACTCACAAAGCCACAGCTATCACTTCTGGTGGGGGTTTTAAGGGGTTACTGTCCTATTGGTATCCACGCAGTTAGGCTGAACATTCTGCCGGACCCTTTATGTCGCTGTTGCCTGGAAGATGACGAGGTAGAATCACCTCAACACTACCTTCTTAGGTGCCCAGCGTTTGCGAGGCTAAGGTTGAAGTACTTTGGCTCTCACTTTCTAAACAGCCCCGAGGAGCTCTGGGGCATTGAGATCAGCCGTATTAGTAAATACATAATCGGCTTGGAGCGTTTTAACGATAAAGTTTAGGGGGCCTTTCCAAATTGTGGTATCACAAAGGACAATCTTACATTGTCTAAGTGAGCTCCGGTTACACGGGGCTGCTACCTTACCTAACCTAATATTAGCATAAAAGTACACTATTTGGACAATCATTTAGACAAGTGTCCTGAAAATCTTGGAGCGTATAGCGAAGAACAAGGCGAACGTTTTCATCAAGATTTAAAAGTGATGGAAGATAGATACCAAGGTCGTTGGGATGAGCATATGATGGCAGATTATTGTTGGAGTATTACACGGGAATGTCCTGAAGACATCCATCGGAGAAAATCTAAAAAGAGAAGCTTCTAATCTGTAAAATAATGTGTAATTAGATGTAATTAAATGTTTTGAATTAAATGTTCTTTTGTTCTCTAATAAATTAATTAAATGCTTTTTAATCTATTTACCCTTGCGAAATGTAATTTCATATGGTAGAAATTAAACACGACCGTTCTCAAGCAATTCATTTATTTTAGTAGTATATCTATCGTTAATACAAAGCTAAAAGGTATTTACTCAAAATGATACCGCGTTTGGGTTGCCAATGTTACAGACCATAGGGATGCATTTTCTTACAAATTCCGCCTCAACCCAAATGCGATTTACAAAGAAAAGTTCTATTACAAAATCAGAAGAAAAATTCATATTTTTTTTTTTTTTTTTAACTTAATTCAGGTTATACAAAAACAATATTTAACAGTTTACATAAAGCACTATGTTTATCACCCGATAAAGGTTTTGTAAATATATCTGGAGCATTTTTCGCCGACGGGACGTACTCAATATCGATTTCATTTTGGACGTACTTCTCGCGTATGTAGTGAAACTTGATATCGATATGTTTACTACGCTTGTGTGCAACAGGATTTTTGACTGCGAACTGTGCACTTTGGTTATCACACAATATTTTGGATGGTGCACTAACATACCGCTCAAAACCCATTTCCGTCAACAAACTTCGAAGAAAAGATACTTCTTTTGCTGCATTGCACATCGCAATATATTCCGATTCCATTGTGCTGAGAGAAACGACATGTTGCTTCTTTGACTCCCATGCAATGAGTCCATCGCCCAAAAACACTGCATAACCACTAATCGACTTGCGGTCTGTGGAGTCTGAACCCCAGTCAGCATCTGAAAAAGAAGTTAAGCTTTGACGGTTAGCTTTATAAGTAATCATACCCTTCGGCTTCTCCCTTAAGTATCTTAGGACACGCTTGGCTGCCACGAAATGCTCCTTGTGTGGATGGCTATTAAATTGTGCCAGCTTGGACACAGTGTGTGCTATATCCGGCCAAGAAATTATAGCCAAATACGTTAAACCACCAACGAGTGACATGTACTGTTGTGTCTGGTAGCCCGAACATTCTTTACTGCTGCATTTTTCAAGAATCGTGCCGCTACTGCAAGGCGTCGCAGCACCTTTGCAGTCTGCCATATTCCAACGCTTCAGCAACTCGTCTACATACCGCCCTTGGTGAATAGAAATATTTCCACGAAGACCGTTTCGTTTGACCTCCATGCCGAGATAATAACGAATTGGACCACGATCGACAGCTTCCACTTTCTCGTTCAACATTTTGATAATTTTATTCATCGTGTTTTCTGACGAACATGCCAACAAGATATCATCAACGTATATGCTCAGTATGTTAATTTCACCATTCTCGCACATGATGTAAACACAGTTGTCTGCTTTGCATCTCTTAAAACCAATGTCACACAACACCTTGTTTATTTTATCGTTCCAATACCTTCCGGCCTGCTTAAGGCCATACAGCGATTTTTGAAGTCTGCATACTTTCTCAGGATGATTCTCATTAATGAAACCCTCAGGTTGTCGCATATACAACTCCTCTTCCAAATCTCCATTAAGGTATGCTGCTACGACATCTACGTGGTTAACTAACAGCTTATACTGAACCGCCAACGCAAGAATCAAGCGAATGGTCGAATGTCTGACCACTGGTGCGTAAGTAAGAGAAAAATCTTCACCAGGCTTCTGAGAACAGCCTTGCGCTACTAAGCGCGCCTTATACTTTTCTAGTTTACCATCTTCGTCGAATTTTTTCACGAACACCCACCGACAACCAATCACGTTTTTTTCAGGTGGACGGTTAACAAGAGTCCAAGCGCCGCTTTTGATTAGAGAATCATATTCCGCCTGCATAGCACCTCTCCAATGCGAACTTTCCTCGGACTGCAATGCATCTGCGACTGAAGTGGGGTTTTCGCACGCCAAATTCAAAACTTCCGGGTAATCAATCATATACTTTTTCCTTGGTCTACCCACTTTCCCCGTTCTGCATATCCGAGGCCTTCCTCGTTTTCTTTTTCCCAACACGATCTCGCCTTCATCACTCGAAGCAGTTTCTTCCGCATTTTCGTCTGTTTGCTCATTACCCTCTTCGTCTCTTACCATATCGATAGTTCTCAAATTTTTATCAATTTCTGAGTTTTCTGTTTCATTTTTGTTATCATTCGTTTCAGTACATTTATTTTCAGCTTCATATATTAATTCAACATTAACAGTATTAGTGTTATAATTTTCGTTATCAAGTTTTGGCAAAACGTCTTCAAAAAAAATGACGTCCCGAGCTATTATAATGCTTTTCTTTGCCGGATCATAAAGCCTATACCCTTTGGTATGATCAGCATAACCTACGAAGCGTACCTTTGAGCCTTTGCAATCGAATTTCGATCTACCTGGCTGCTTGTGAAGAACAACCGCTTCGCAACCAAACACTTTAAAATGGCTCACACTCGGTTTGTACCCTCGAAGGCATTCATAAGGTGTTTTGTTTTTCAAAATTTTCGTCGGACACCGATTTCGTATATATGCGGCGGTGTTAACCGCTTCGGACCACAACGATTGCGTGAGATTTGACGAAGCCAACATACAGCGCGCCATTTCGACTAAAGTTCTGTTGGCACGTTCGGCCACGCCATTCTGTTCTGGCGTGTAAGCCACAGTCCTTTGGTGCACAATGCCTTTGCCTTTTAAGTAATTTTGGAAATCAATACCTAAATACTCGCGCCCGTTGTCACTGCGTAAACATTTTACTTTGTTGCCAATTTGATTTTCTACACGCGTTACGAATTGCTTAAATGCCTCGAATGCATCGGACTTTTGCTTTAAAAAATGTACATCGATGAAGCGGGAAACATCGTCAATGAAAGTAATGAAGTAATGCGACCCGCCTTGCGACGTTGTACGCATAGGCCCACAAATGTCCGAGTGGATAATTTCTAAACATTTTGATGATTGTACATTAGTATATTTAGCGAAAGCGCTTCTTTTTATTTTGCACATCGCGCACATGTCACAGTCGATATTTAGAGTGTTGTTGATATACAATCCACGCACCATATTCTTTTGCGACAGCGTAAACAAGTCTTTATAATTTACATGACCGAACCGTCGATGCCACTTTTGGGTATGGTCATTGTTCTTTTCAACTATTGAATTAATATTTTCTCTGTTTTTCAGCGTAGTCAAATTTATACAAAAAACTCCGTTGTGAATTTCAGCAATGAACACTAATTTGCTTTCTTTCGTTTTAACTATTGCCTTATTGTTTTTGAAATGTACCTCGTTCCCGTTACTGAGTATTTTGCTCACCGCTAAAAAATTGTTTTTTAATTTTGGTACGTACAACACATCAGCCAACGCGATATCACCGAAACCGGATTTGAGCATTATTTTCCCATCTCCTTCTGCGTGAACAGCTTCTCCAGATGCTAAAAATACTTTCTGAGTAGACTGGCGCAAAGAAGTGAATAATGTCATGTCACTGCACATATGAGACGACGCACCACTATCGAGTATCCAGGTGTTCTCACCTTCCAACCTTCGAACGTTTGAATCAAACAAACTCAGCACTGTTGGAACTTTTTCAGTTTCAGAAAATCGTTGCCCTCGCCTTTGTTCTTCTTCTAATATCTTCATTTTTAATGTTTCCATTTTCGGCAACGTGTCTCTGCTTTCGATTGCTATTACAAAGCTTTCTAGCTCATCTGGTAGGCTACATAATAGTAATATACAGAGCAAGTCCTCAGGTACAGTAACGCCAATTTCACTAAGATTGTCGACGATCGAGCAGAACTCGTTGATTTGAAGGGCAAATTTCTCAGAAGCGTTCAGCTTGAACTGTACCAATTTCTTAAACAAATTTACCTTTCGAGCTGGACCGTCTGCGTTGTAAAGATCGCTTAGTAGACTCCAGGCTGCTTTTGCTGTTTCGCACTTTTTTATGTGAATCAACTCCGACGGTCTTACGCACAGATGTATCATTGCCAATGCCTTTTGGTCGGCTGTCTTCCATGCCCTTGCTTCCAAATCTGACGGTTCCACCTTAAGAGTTTCTTCGACGACGTACCACAAATCCTGCGTTACCAGCAAACTCCGCATCAACAGCGCCCACGTTGAATAATTTTCGCCGTTGAGCTTTTCTATATTAGTTAACGACGAACTCATTTTCGCGTGTAAATTGTATTTTTAAGGATACAAAAAAACCGACTAACGATTTACATATATGACAACCAATATTACTTTATCTTTTGAACCACGTGATCTGGGCCCATAACCCATGTAATTTCATACGGTAGAAATTAAACACGACCGTTCTCAAGCAATTCATTTATTTTAGTAGTATACCTATCGTTAATACAAAGCTAAAAGGTATTTACTCAAAATGATACCGCGTTTGGGTTGCCAATGTTACAGACCATAGGGATGCATTTTCTTACACGAAATCGCGAAAACTACACGTAGCACTAAAAAAGTAAGTATCAAGTTTTTATCAGGGTACCGAATGTACTTAAAATCAGTTTTACTTTTAGCGGCACCAAAATCATTTTAGACCTGTGTTATGTACAGATATCGGCCTTTTGCAAAATTATTATTCTCAAATACTCTCGTTTGATACCCATATGGCAACACTTAGTTTATATTATAAATTTAACCGAATTAAAGTTTTCAAATAAGTTGCCACTTATCAAGTTGCCCGCTTCAAGAATATTTTCAAAAGAAAGCTTCCTAATCCTCTTTAGTTTAATATTCGTATCGCATTATTTCATTTATTTTGCAAATTTTAATGAATACAATTTTTCAATCAGTTGGCAAATCCCTAAAATAATTTTCAGCATTAAAATTTCCTAGCCTCTTTAGTTTGATGCCAGTATTGCAATATTTAATTTATGCTATCAATTAAATTAAATTAAAGTTTTCAAATAGGTGGCAACCTTCCTCAAAAATATTTTCAGCTGTAAGCCTTTGTAAATTTCTTTCTTTTGACAGTCATATTGCA